TATCAATAATATTTCTCTTTAAATCTTATACTGTTTGAAATAAACTATTCCACACAGTCTAGTAAAATATTTGTTTCCAGATAAGGGTTTTGTGGAGATTATAGTAATTCTAATAGTTGAGTTCATGAGTCAGTTGAAGCTAGACCACTATGGAAAACCTGGAAGCACTAGATGGACGTTTTATTCTAGTATGGGTCTGTTGTGAGATAGTAACTTACTAATGACAATGGTAGGTGGTGGCGTAATTTCGTGGATTAGTTGAAGTTAGACATTAACACCGTTGGATGCTGACCGGCTGAGTGGTCTACAGGTTGAGCGCTTCCGCGCGAATCCGATAGGTGCTGGGTTCGAATCTCACGAGGTGGAATCGTCAGTGCACACTGCTGAGAAGTGGTTTCAGGTTTTCTATGGTGGTCTAGCTTCAACTGAATCGTAAATTCAACGAATAAAATTAGAAAGATAGATAACTGCGTTCCCATTGATTATGCTATTGCTACTAGACAGTTTAACTGAATTATTCAACTGTTCTTCGTCAATTTCATCGTTTAACTCAGTTAAAAGGTGAGTTGGTCAACTAGGACACAAAAACATTATTCAAACAATCGTAAATAATATATTGTTCAGAGACTTAGAAATTCACTCTTGAAAAATGACTTTGTCTAGTTAAAATATTCGTAATCGTAATGATGTTCCACTTATGGTTGACTAATGCAAACTTTACTAGGTGGTGAATGCTTTATCGACTCTCGTTCCAGAAAATGAATTCGCCAAAATCTGATGAACTCGTCAACCATGATCAATGTCAGATTTCAAAAGATATTTTAATGAATGAAATTATACGTACAGCAATTTTTGTTATGGGTCAAGTAAATTGTAAAAACATTCATAAATGAAATGGTCATATTTCATTGTAAGTTAACAACTGAAGCTAGACCACTATGGAAAACCTGGAAGCACTGGATGGCCGTTTCGTCCTAGTATGAAGCTCCTCAGCAGTGCGCATGCATGATCCTAACTCGTGAGATTCAAACCCAGGACTTATCGCTCAGTACTTCCAGATTTTTCATGGTAGTCTTGGTTCAATTGACTCATGATCTCAACTATCGAAATTACTATAATATCCACAAAAACCACTTCTTATACATTGGTCTACCTGTCTCACAATATCCCATAGTTTGAAATCGTGACGTGGATGGAGAAGTAACTTACGATTGAAATGCATCAAATAATTAACAATCACTAATCATTACTGGACGATATTCGGGTAGCCACTACAAATCTCTTTAGTAAATGTAGCATATGACATTTATTATTAATTTTACTGTACTATATCCTTTTTTCTTCTTGTACTATGTCCAATCTTTCTTTTATATATTACCGCCATTAAATTAACTAGTTCTGTGATTCTGGTGTTCATCTTGTTGTGCTGATGAGGTATGGAAACTTGAACCGATGTACATATGTACCTGATCCTACGTTGTAGCTGACTGACTGACTATACAATGATACTTTCAGTGGTCATTTAATAAGATCAATCATAGAAACCATAAAACAGAAATATTGATGTTTAGTAGCCTCTAAAAGTAAACACAACACTATGGAACTTCAAAATTTTCGCATAAAGTAATCCTGCTATAAACTTTGTGTGAACTAAAGTCTAAATAACATGACATTTAGTAACTCATGTTGATTGTGACAGATCATTTTGTTTAGCGGTTTCTTGGTCAAAAGTATCGATTGTTAAAAATTCAGGTAAATATGGAATATATATATATATATTGAACAAATGAGATTTCTAGTTTAAAATAACAGTGTCAATATTATGTAACTTTGACTAAATGTTTATGAAAATTTCATTGCCAAGTTCCATAGTTACATTATCAATAATATCAGAATATCTTGTATATCTAATTATACATATAAATTTGCCCCCAAATATCCTGGTACGGCCGAGGATGAGAAGAGTCAACTCTCCTTCTGTAGATGCTCCCACATGGCCACGTGTAGACAGTCACTACCAGAGAAATCCTACTCACAGCCATTTTGAGGGAGGGGTGTTGTTTACAAAATTGAGAGGACGACAAGCTAATGTCCAGTGTTTAAACCGGGTTAGTGGATACGGAAAGATCTAACTAGAGAAGTTGAAGAACACTTATCCCAAATCAGTGGTGCACATGGCTTTCAGGATTTTAAGGAGACAAATTGCGAATTAAGCTATTGTTTGTCACTGGTTATTATGGGACTGCATTACCAATCGTAACCTCACTGTTTTATAGATCAGATATCTAGGTCAAAAGCACAGGAAGTAGCTCCTTAGGAAAAACGCTTGTTTCTGTTTGAGCATCCGTGCAGTATCCCATTACACAGCATGAATGATAACAACTGTTTATGGCACAAATATATTTTGGTGCCGCTTTGTACCAATGTTTGTTTTCAAAAAAAATAATAAATGAATAAATAATCTCATATTAACATCATACACCTATTATGAAGCTCCAATAAATCACGACTAGCATTGGAATGATGTATGCTCATGTCATGCTAACGATATACACATATTAACAATGATTATCAACTGAATGTTCAGCACAACTTGTCAATAACTGTATCACTAAAGGTTATCAACAAACGAACCACTGGAAATCATGAACTATGGAATATTCGTTTTTTAATATTTTCAAGCATGACTTATCAAGAACACCTTCCATGTTCATTTGGACATTATCAAATATTACACTTTGATTTCAGATATCATTCTGAACTATGTTAAGTTAATTGGTTAATGTTCACTGAATAACTTATTTATTTATTTATTTAACCACATAAACATTGATACAACGAGGTATCAACTAGATATGTACTACATAAATCACTCGATTTGTGTGAGGCCTGAGATACTGCTCAGGTGGTCAAACTGAAGTAGGTCACATCATATCACTGTATTATGGACACAATGTTTATTTGTATGTTCACAGGAGAATGCAATGCAAGAATATTATAGTATATGAATACAATTCATCTATGTACTTGTTAAGCCTTGTAGATATAAAACAGAATATATAATCTGTATACAACAAAAGGGGGTTAGTGTTTACAGAATATGACAAATCTATCATATTTCATTGCCTTCATTCAAAGTTAATATAACCCCTACTACGATTTACAAGAGCGTAGGATGTAAAGCCAACAAGAATATTAGTCTTGTTTCTAAACATAAAAATGATTGATAAGTAAAGTTTAAGAAAGAAACACAATGAATTTATTGTATACTACAAATTGTATTATCTTAGTTTTATATAAATTTGTAATGATCAACTACATAGAATGTAAAGTATGTAAGATGGTTGGACAAGATCCTACTGACATTGTATTGTACAAAAGGTAAAAGTAATTTATGATTGTTTTTTGTTTTATTTTAAAGTTTCATCTTCTCAATCCTATTCGTGTAAACCAATTTGAACAGTCGTGTAGTACCATTCAATGTACACATAGACAACGTATGTTAACATTGAATATATATGGTTCTATACTAAATAACATGAATCGAATCATAATAAGAAAGGGTTTATGGATGGATTAGGACTATTTTGAATTTATTTAATGTTTATCTACGTTAAAGTATGTTGATCAAACGTCTAGACTGATTATAGTGGAATTGTTTAAAGAAATTCTCACCATACATATTGAAATTAGTAAGATAGTGGAATGTACTAGGTCATATAGAATTTAATTTCAACTCAACTACAAAAGTATATAAACTTCATTTTTATTATAATTAGAAGTTAGACACCGTTAGATGCCTGCAAGCTCAGTGGTCTAGAGGTTGAGTGTTCACGAGCGAGACTGAAAGATCGTGAGTTCGAATCTCAAGAGATGGAATCGTGGATGTGCATTACTAAGGTGTCCCATACCAGGACGAAACGGTCGTCCAGTGCTTTCAAGTCTTTTCCTGGTGGTCTAGCTTCAGCCATTAAATTTATTTTAATTCTCCATTTCATTATCACTTCATGTATTCACTCTCTCATCACATGCTATTTTGTCTTATTCTTCCTAATCCTCAATGATAAAAGTTTAGTAGTTAAGGTAATAAACTTTTAACTATTAATGAGTTTGTTGAAACTTAATTCCATCTGGCTCGATTTAGACAGACTTTATATATTAGTATTTGTATGGGTTTTGAAGTGTTTTTTCTTCGTTATTTGAATTGTTTTAAACACTACAGTCATTTGCAATCGACTTTCCAAGTCATTTGCCCAGTACACGTTTATAGACTTGGTCTTAAGTAACACTTTGATTAAAACTTAATGCTGTTGAAACGAAGTTTAGTAGACGGAGATAATAAGACCAATTAAGTTTCTATATTCAAAACGTATGATGCAACAGATTTCATTAAAATTTGTGTTGTATGATCATTTATAATAGATTACTAAATATATAAACTTTGTGAACATTACATCAACGATAGCTAATAGCTAGCAGTGGAATCAAGAATGAGTGTTTAGTCCTATTTGAGACTCATTGGCTGGATGTGCCTACATCTCATACTTCATGTCCACTTTGGGACTTCAACCCAGTGCCGTTTGCTTTAAATGCTATCGCGCTATTCACTTAACTACTGAGTCCTGATAGCCACTTGCTTGTGCAATAGATAGAAGTTTAAATTCACTTGGTATTGTTAACTTAAATCTTTCCATTGATGTTTAGTCACAGGGTGAACATGAACAGCTGACGAGTTCAGTATAGGACGAAACGCGCATCAAACTGGATTCCACTTGTAGTCACTATCTAACGTTACTTAGAATACTTTTGAATTAATATAATATCGAGGTAATACGCACAGAATGCACATATGCTAATAAAAGATTGATCAGTTACAGTTTATGAAAATGAATGTACAATCAAGATGTAATGAAAAGTTATTTAATCAACACTCAATTATAATTCCGAATAATAAATAAATAATTCTAAAATTTATTTCATTTTGCAAGATATTAACTTACTATATCTGCTTTCTCGTGTGCTTCATCTGCAGTGTCTAAACCCCATCTAGCATATAGACTACCTGATTGTAATATCGCTCTACGAAAATATGGTTGAGCAATTGGTGACATCCATAGAATTGATACACTGACTGCTCCGGCAGATTCACCAAATATTGTCACTTGATTTGGGTCACCATGAAATTGTTCTATATTCTCTTTTACCCACTTTAATGCCATTAATTGATCTAATAAGCCCTGATTACCTAGAGCACTAGTTTGCGTTTGATCGGTAGTATTAGGCTTTAATCGTAAGAAACCAAATGCACCGACACGATATTGCATAGAAACAATAATTACATTTTGTGTAGCTGAAAGTATAGCTCCATTATATACTTGTAGATTAGCACTGCCTGAAGTAAACCCACCGCCATATATCCATACCATAACTGGAAACCGTGAATTTTTGCCACTAGGTTTTGGAGTCCATACATTAAGATATAAACAATCTTCACTCATTTCAGTATTGTTAATCCACATTTTACCAGCAGCATTAACAGCATCAAATCCTACAAATATATATTGCCAACATGTTGCTGATAATTTAGTTGCATTATATGAACCTTTCCAACCGGGATGTTTTATTGGTGGAGCAAAACGTAATTTACCGATTGGTTTTGATGCATAAGGTATACCTAAGAAACTATTGACTTGAACTTCTTTTCCATCAATCTGTACAGTTTCTTCTTTTCCAATAATTGATCCACCATGATTTAAAGTTATTTTTATAGGTTTTAAAGGATTCAACATCACATTAGTAGTAATAATCATAAACATCATATTGAATAATGATAATATAGACAAATGAATAAATGATAGTAACATTGTCTATAGGAAAAAGAATATTGAAGAAGAAGAAGAAGAAGATATTTACATAAGTGTATTCCTAATAGTTAGTTGTATATAAATATAAATATACTACTAAAATTGACTAGTCATATTTTCAACCAACTGAGCAACATCCACCTATTATGCCGACTGATAAAAAATTAAAAAAAAAAATAATTTTCTAACCAATCATTTTAATCTAAGCAACTCAATTTTGATTGGTTAATTTTTAATTGAATGAAAGACTGATTATTATTCATTACTATTTTTAGTAATTCATTTCATTATTTTAAAATGTTATTCAATTAAAATTTTATTAATTAATCAAACATTCTTTTTGTTGCTAAGTAATTGACATCTTCCATATCTATGAAAGATGTCAATCAATGAACCGACAAGCTAAAAAAAAACACATTACTAGAATTTATTCAAAGAAATAATTCTATAAAACAATAATACATTAGCATTATAGAATGTGTTTTGTGGAGATTTTTTTAGAAATTTTCACATGCGGGGTCGTGGATGCTCACTGCTGAGGAGTCCCATACTAGGACGAAACGACCATCCAGTGCTTCCAGGTTTTCATAGTAATACATTAGCAGTTTGATTGAAGATTTGGACTATCTATAACTGTCATTGAAATCTTTCAATAAAATATTTTTTTTTCTGTTTAAGCATCTTATTATGTTTATTAATTGTATAACTTATACAACAAGTGTGTTTATGAAAAGTTTACGATTTTTCATTGTACAATGGAAGAGAGTCGCGCAATTTTATGGATTATTTGATGTTAGATATTGACACTGTTGGATACCGGATGGCTCAATGGTCTATAGGTTAAACGTTCGCGTGTGAGACAGAAGGCCTTGGGTTCGAATCCTGGGAGGGGGATCGTGAGTGCACACTTCAGAAAAGCCCACACAATATGACGAATCGGTCATCCAGTGATGACAGGTTTTCAATAGTAATCTAACATCAATCAATTCATGATCTCAATCAAAAACTTACGATGTTTCACTGAACAAGTTACACAAAATGTACAATAAGAGATATTGTGGTGGTTGACAATGTGTATTGAAGAGAATGAACATTAATCGTATGTCTATTCCAAAGCTCCTAAATTTTAACTGCCGATCACTAATTGATAAATTAGGCTACCTTCAGTTCCTACTAAATCAAAACATGTATCGGAATTGTGATGTCATCATAACTCAGAATCTTGGCAAACTAATTTACAGAACGATTGCTTAGTATCACTATGTGATTTCAATATCTATAGTCAGGATCGATCAAGCAAGGTATGACGGTGGTGTAGCTACGTTTGTAAGTGTGAACGAGTGTTGATCTATTTTTTCATGTTTCATGTTTTAAAATGACTTTATTAACTGTTTAACTTCAAGATGCCGTCCGATACATCTGAGTAAATACAAATATGTTTATGTTACCAACATCTATATGACTTTAGATTGCACATCATCTGCGCTATCTGTTTTTACTGATAAATTCGTTGTTATCGCCTTCAATGATTTGCTTTCAATTGTATATGGTGATTTCAATTCACGTGACTGCAGCTTCCTTTGATCACATGGTCACCAAAACGTAGTAGATTTTCCCACTTGTTTAGATGTTCATTTGGACTTTGTTTTCATTAATAATATGGGTATATATGTGACTCGTAAACGTGCTACATTGTATAGCTCGGATCACTGTATAATTTGTGTTCTAATTAAAGTATATAGAAAGCATGGAAAGAGTACACTCTTACATCAGAACAAGAAAGTCAAATATAGCGATTACGCAGAAAAAAAGTATTCTACTACTGAAAAACATGTTTCATACTACTAACTGGGAATTATTTACAGATGAATCACTAAAAAACACTACCGATGTTATCAAGTGTTATCTTTAATTTTGTTTTGATATATGTTGTCCCAATGAAAACATGATTTTACGTTTTGATGGACTTACATCTTCACAACTAGAACGACTACGGAGGGTAAAAGAAAGAATGCACAAGGAAGGAGACTCTAATTAAGATCGTAAGCTAAATGGTCTAATAAGCCTAGAGATAAGACGTCTCAATCCTATGTTTACTGAGAAACTCTTATCTTGTAAAATCTCTCCAAGTATGTGGAAACTCTTTAAAGAAGTTACAGGTGATAGGGACACTAGAACCGATAACCAGCGGAATGTTTGTGACTTGATTAAGTCTTTTGTACGTCATTCATCTGATGGAATGCTCCCTATATCCACAGGTTTGAAGAATAGTTGTTTCCTAGTCTCACTGAAACCGATGTCCGAAAATGTCTCCACTCACTTAATTCATCTCAATGTTTAGGACCTGATGAAATGCCTGTTATGAATTATGTCCGGCTTTTATCACATGATTTATCCACCAATCAAAATACAACTTATACAGTCTTCGCAACTGTGCTAAAACCAATGACGTTCGACCGGTATGGGCAGTCTAGCGTCCTTATCGGTCCTACGTCCGCCTAGCCCGTCCACTTGAGTCCAGAACACCAAATACCAGCTTCCAATATGCACACAATAAAGCCAAAAAGTGGCTGTGAACGTGGAAGGCAGTAGTTAATAAAGTGAGCATAATTTGGGGACAGTAAATTGTATAATAATAAATTATAGGTCAAAGTGAAGCTTATAATAAGAGGAATATAAATACCCATAACGTAATTATTGAATAATTACACAATAAGAATATTTATAGAATATTAATCCATTATTAAGTTACCTGTAATTTAATCTTCACTAGGATATAACAATGCCAAACCTCCTTTTTTAAAAAATGTGCTGACGTTCTATGTTATCCATTCACCTGTATTTTTGGCAGATCCTTCTCAATTATTCTCATACCGAAAATATGGAGAAATATAAAGATAATCCCTACAACTAAGAAAGTATCTGGCGATAAGAATGTGAAATTTAGGCCCATAGCAATAACTTCACCCTTCCTCAAAACAAAAGAAAATTTATTGACACTCCCACTACAACCTGCAGCAAGAGAGCACACTGGCATTGATCCACATCAGTTTGCTTAAAAATACAAAAAGCACCTTAGATACTGTTGCTGTTCTGCATCACAACATAGTGTTCAACTTAGAAAAGGGTAAGAAGTATGTTCAATGCTCTTTCCTGGACTATACTTCTGCTTTTGATTCTGCCCCAAGACGACTTTTAATCAACAAGTTAATCAGCATCAACACTGACAGCTGGATAACCAAGTGGCTATGTTCCTACCTCTCTGAAAGAGAACAGCGAATGTTTTTGGGAGAAAGTGTTCAGCGTCTCTACTGTCTCATGATGGTGTGCCACAGGAATCTGTTCTTTCACCTCTTCTTTGCTCTTTTCTTCTGTACGATCTGCCAACTTCCACAGAAAACACTTTTGTGAAATATGCGGACGATCTAACAGTATGTATGCCGATTTCTACCTCTTTACATCCCAAAGACATGAATGACTTTTTGTCACGTATTGAATAGTGGTTTGTTGTTATTGGTCTCATACTTGATCCCTTTAAATATCAAGTTGTTAGCTTTAGCCTGAGACATTGTCAGCATCTAAACACTATATTGAAATCCTATAATGCTTATGCCATTGAAGACTCTTTGATAAACAGTGTCGAAGGTCAATTATCTTGGTGTTACCTTTTCCTCTGGTCTCTCTTGGTCTTCTCATGTTTTACTGTTATGGAAGAAAGTTTTCTGTTTGACTTACTACATAAAGAGACTGAATGCTTTTGGGATTACTCGACTTTTACTCTTACAATTTTTCAATTCCTGCATATTACCTATTATTCTTTACTGTTCTGTATTATTTTTCCCGAGCTTTTGAGAAAAGACGTTGCTGTATTCCGGAGAGTGCTGAAGGCAGTTAGCAAGGTGTGTAGCGAATCGTTCGAGGTTGTTATTAATATGGTTGTGGATAGACATTAAATGTCTTACAAACTCCTAGTAGGTGTTATTTTATCAGACACTGACCACCCCCTTAATTCATTTCTTTCTCTCTATAAATTTTCTGGTAGAACGTGACGTCCATACATTAAAATCTATGCACTCAAGCAAAGGTATAAATGTTCTATAATACCTTATCTAGCAAATATACTCTGTGACGAACAGGCTGTTAGAGCCGACCTAGTCAATAACTTCTATTCATCGACATGTCTCGAGTTTCAAAAGTTGTACAGATTCAGATCTTTTTCATATTTTTCTTTTCTTTTTTTTGTTTTTGTAGTAGAAACATGTTTAAATACTTCGTGCTGAGAATTCTATATTGTACCAAAAGTATACTACTGAGTAGAACCATTAATAATAGTAATAATAGTACATTATTATTAGTAGTATATAAGAAAATGATTAATTTCCAGAAGTGGTATCACATGAACATTTTCATTTGAAGACAATCTAATTAGAATTGAGAATAAAGAAATGAATGATCAAGATGAAAGATAATACAATTTCATTGAAATAAAACTGGCGATCATGTGTACTTGAAGTGTTAAATATAAATAATGAGGTTAAGTATACAGATAATGTAATCAAGTGGAACAATTGATAGATTCAATTTAACACGGTAGGATGAAATTGATGATTCTTCCAGTTTCAGTATCAGTTTGGAAAGGACGGGAGGTGTGATGGCCTGTGTTATTCTTAGCGATGATGGTCTCTCAGTTCATCTAACTTTTTTTTGAAGGAGTCAACAGACGGAGCTTCAACTGAATGTTGAATTGATGAGCTCCACTCGTTGATGATTCAACGGAAAAGTCGATAGTCAGCTGACAAGTAAATTGTTCTGGGCTTTTGAACAATTTCGGAGTGTCCTTGTCAATTCTCTGTTTCGGAAGTCAACAGAAATGAGGATGTATCAGGTGCAAATTTATCACTGAGTAATTTGAAAACCGTAATCAAGTCATCTCTAGTTCTGTGATATGACAACTGGGATAGGTTTCGTTTAGCTAGTGGAGCATCAATCTGCAGCTTCGCTATTCCGGTAATCAGTTTATTTGCTGTTCTCTGAACCTTTTCTAGAATCTCAATGTCTATTTTAAGCAGGGGCTAGACACTTGTGTGGGGTACCCAAGGTTATGATTCACGAATACTGCATACAAATCAAAAACGTTTTGG